ACTGGAATTTATGCTTAACATTGTAGAGTGATATGAACGTTTAGACTCTGATAAAGCCTCAGATGAATGTTTTCCAAACTGTATATTCTGGAAGGAAACTAAATGCTCCTATTTGGAACCACTTATTCTTATAACATCAACATGTCTCTAAAGAGCTGTTTTATGTCAGAGTCTCCTTTAATAACCCTGTTTTTAAAGAAATAAACATTTTGAAAGTCACATTTTCCAAAAAGAATGATCTGAAATACAAAACCAGTGAGGTTGGGATGGACCTTTGGTTGGCCAGCTTACCTTCTCTGTGACTTTAAATGTGAAATGGTATGTCCTTAGGCAGATGTGAATACAATTCCCTGACCCCAGTGCTTCAACAAAGTCATAAGGGTCAGAGTCCACAGATTCAAGCAGATCCACAGTCTTGAATCCCCAGCTTCAGTTATGACAGAATTTAGTGGGTATGGGCCCCAGCATCACATACTTCCCTCTTGATTGCTGTATGAGGACAATAATTGTTTCTTTTTAGAAGATATCATCCTAGCCCCATCTTTATTCACTCTGTAGTTAATAAAACTGAGAAATTATAAGACCAAATATTTGCTGTTCAAATTGTTTCTCTTCCCTTGGTACTTATATGATCATTCTGAGAGAAAGTAAGATGGCCAAGATATAAATAGTTCTAAAAGTTTTTTACATGCAAAGATTTAATGAGTACTCGTATAGATGCAAAAGACCAATACTGCTGCCAATACCAAACTTTGGAATTTCACTTTTACCCCTCTCATTTTATAATCCAAAAATTCTATGATATACAAACCTGGGATAGTTGGACACAGACAATGTTTCTTTGGGTCTAGCTGTCTTCAGTGAAATCACTGGATTTCTGATATATTCTTCAGAGAACCTTTCCCATCTCCTCCCTCCTCCTATTTGTGTGGGAGACCCTGAGTGTATTTAAGCTGGAACAACTCCCAGCAAACAAATTCTTCTCCTGCTCTTGTTATCACCCTACCCATTGAACAGATCACCTCCCTTTCATCTGCTTAGAGTATGGCATTAAGTCATGGATATAATGCAAGAAAAGTGTCTTCTTGATCAAACAGCCACTTCTTGCCTTCACTAGCACTGTCTGTCACTTTGGTACAGTTATTGGTACACCTTAAAAGTCCCAATGTTCTGCTCACCTTTGAACTGCTGCCACTCTCTGAAGCTCATGCTAATGTTGACTACAGTGTAGGAGATAAACTTAGACCCACATTCTGTCATCCTGTGCCCATGTGGAGATGCTGGCATGCCTCTCTTCTGACACAGGGAGAACCTGTGTTTCACCACTTGTGTCACATTATTAACCACACTCCAAAGTAGTGATGTCTTGCCTCCCCAGTATTTTACAGGAACTTTCAGTAAAAGCAGTTCTAATAGGTTTTCTTGAATTCTCTTGGTTTTTTTTAGGAGTTAGTCATGCAAACTTATTGAAGCTGCACAGGAAGGATCTCTGAGTTACAGACATAAAACCACTGCTTCCTTATACCCATTGGGACATTGTTCTGAATCAGTGAATTAAGGATTCACCTTTTCCTTAGGATGACTTTCTCATGAGGTTACTCCATCCTCATTCAAATAGTTGCCTAGTGAATTATGCCTACCAGTGTGCTGGCTATGCCTAGATATGTCTGAATCCTAAGGCGACTAAGCTTGGGATCAAGCTGATGTTCTTACTACCCTTTTAATTCAATACTCTTTTCCTATTTCACCCCATTTTTATTTTCACTGTATATTCAATGTTTAATCTTTGTATATTATCTATTATCATTCTATATATTTTAAACCAGATACCATAAATAAGGATCAGCTTGTAAAAGTAAATCCATGGTGATAACATACCTCCATATAGTTTTCCTAGATCAGAATGTTTAAGGTAGTCTCCTTTACTTATGTCTGCAATATCTGAAACATACTGTACATTTAATAATAAAATTCAACATGTTCAACTACATTTGATAAAAGATTCATTATTTTTAATACATGTGATAGAGTCTGTGTTCCCATTAGCACTTCTAACAAAGCAACTGTTCCGCCATTTAAAAGGTTGAGTCTATATAATCAATGTAGGTATATTGTATCTGAAGGGGCAGGTCAAATAGTTAAGCTATGGTGTAGCTCAAGACCAAGAGTAACTGAGCAAGCATTAACTTATGGAATCTTAATAGTCACCTCATTGCTGAAGTAAAAAGGAAACCGAGAGGAAACTTAATAATATCAAAAGTTATTTTAAAGGGAGTTCACATTGGTGCAAAGGGTACTTTGCTTCACACACAATATCCACCTTTGTAAAGCCAACGAAACCCCTATTTGTAACATACACACATCTTTACAGTTTTCAGAACATAAATCTTTAGAGCAGTATTACATCTCTACAGATAAAAATTAAAATATTGAAAGTCTGTAGAATAATAAAAGAAACCCTCTAGAAAACCAAAGGAAACTTGGAACTTTGTGTTAAGTGCTTATTTAACTATAAAAGGGTCTGTGTGTGTTGTAATGAATGGAAAACCGATTTTACTGCATTCCATTTGTGAACATCTTGCAGCAACCTATTTCACTATTAGAAAGATCATATATTAAAAATGATTTCTGCAGTCATCAATGTATACAAGTAAAAATTTAGTTTCTGTTAAATTAACACTTCATTAAAAAATCAAAATAAAAGCTCAACAAATACTTTTTATGTTGTACTCCAAGACAGGGAAAGAAATCAGAAATTTGAAGAACAGATTGCCAGTTATTCTATTCCATAACAGTTAAGTTTCTCAGTTCTTTTTTTTTCTTTTGCTGAGCTCTCTGTCACTGGAAACATCTTAAACCAATTTCAAGTGCTACACCTGAATAAACATGTTGTAAAAGTGTTTATGTATTGAAGTGGGTCAGTTCAAGGTATGGTATTTGGCTGGAACTTCTAATTTCTCTTTTTACAGCAAAAGGGCTGCCAGAAGGAGGAAGTCTGAGCTGAATTAATACATTTGTTACAGTGGAAGTAGAATGGAAACTGCTCTGACCACAAATCAAACTGCCTCTTTCATTTATGCCAGTGATAGAGTTTTTCTAAGAAATATAGACTCTGGCATAAAGCCACTGTAAGTTTGCATTTAAAAGAGAAACCTATATGCTTATTTGTTTAAGGTTTACTGCTTTGATTATTTGTAAGTTCTTTCTTCGGTAGGACTGTGTGTAGTGGCATTTGTGAGGTGGAATGCCATTTTAATACTGGTAGGAACCAAACAGGTTTTGCCAATATGTTGTAGAATACTTGCTGAGGATCCTGATGCTGCTGGATTGGTGAACACTTCTTTTTTTTTTAATCAATACCTCCACATTTAAAGGACCTCTGTGTCCGTCCCAACAGCTGCACAGCCTCATATGACACGGTCTCATTTTCTGATGGTAGAAGGTCTCTGCACAATACAAGTATACACAAAAGTGTTTATGCTGCCAAAATAAATTTTGTTAAGAGTGAGAGTTTACTTGCTAAAATGCCATTGATGCAATTTCAGGGACTTGTTTTCCTTTTCTGTCTTCTAAGGTAGGTCAGATCTTATAATGGACTGAGGTTGCTCCACAGTCTTTACTGAATAAATATTTTAAGAAAACATGCACATCCCCTATGGGATGAAACAGAGTCAATCATGCACATATTCCAAACCACATTATTTATCACTCCTCAAATATTGCTAATTTCTGTATGTCGAATAGAAAATTTGCATGAGTTTTGAGTAATTTTCAACTAAATTTACAAGTTAATATTAAGAGTTCATTTTCTTTGGGTGATTTTAATAGAACTAGATATCAGCTAATGGTTTTCTTCATATATATTATAGTATTAATATACATTATATATATATTATACAAAAATATTATGTATATTTTTGGTGATTACTTTAAACTAGAGAGGACAACAAGAGTGAGTTGTAAGAGGAGGAAATAATAATAATATGTAACTCCTATTTATAGAATCAAATAACTCACGTAAATCAATAAAATGCCTAGCACACGCACAAAAAGTGCTCCAAAACATTTCGCATTATTATAAATATCATTACTAGCCCAATGGGAGAGGTTCTTTATTAAGATCTACTTCTAGTCCCTAAGCCACCTTGCCTTCTAACTCAGTCCTGTACAGGCCCTTCTTCTCTGATTCCCAGCCACACCAGTTGGCTCAGAAAGGTCTGCGGTGCAGGCTGGTTGAGAGATGAAGGTCAGTCTCCAAGCCCACCTGGCATTTTTCTCCTTTCTGAAAGTCCCCAGCCTTGGTTTGCTTCTTCTGAAATCCTTTCAGTAAACATTCAGTTGTGTCAAAACTCTGAAGGGGAAATTCTGAAATGTTCATGTTTACTTCAAATCATTTCACATTAAGAAAACACTGGCACTTAAAACAAGGCTCCATCCCCAGCAGGGGCTTCTGAAATGACCTTTGAAGAGCTTGAAGTAGAGCACAGCTTTGTAAAATCTGCTGGGCACAGGCCAGGGGTGATGGGGGGAGGCCATCAGCACTAACTAATGCTTGAAAGCTTGAAAGAAGCTGGAGAAAGTAGAAACATCCAACCAGCCACTCAGCTTTTATCACTTAGAGGAAAATTATAGGGAGTTTAATGCAGAAGAGCCCATAGCTAATATTTTGAAATTGTTACTTAATGTGGACATTTCCAGGCTCGTGGTAGTCAAGCCTTCCCACGGATAGCATTGCCGACTTCCAGATCTGAGAATATCTGTTAGTGGAGGCAGCCCGAGGGTGTTCTGTGGTGGAAGAATGATGCAAAATGAAAATCCAAGCGTGGATAATTGTCTGTAATAGTAAACTCCAAATGTTTATAAGACTATTTGGCCTGCAAAGAAAACATTCTGATAATGTTTTTAAACTTTTTTTTCAAAGTACCCTCAGAATTCATTCATATCAGGTAAACATTATCTTTTTTTTTTTTATAAACCAAGTGCTTGTATTTCTGTTCTAGGACGCAGTATCAACGTTAAATCCGCTGGTCTTGTGGGGAGACATGGGCCTCAGTCAAAGCAACCATTCATGGTAGCTTTCTTTAAGGCAAGTGAGGTACTTCTTCGATCAGTGAGAGCAGCCAACAAACGAAAGAACCAAAACCGCAGTAAATCCAGCTCTCATCAGGACTCCTCCAGAATGTCCAGTGTTGGAGGTAAGTTAGAGCTGGAGCAGAAGTTGTGCATGGAGAGTTATGGGGTCACATGTTGCAAATCAAGTAGCCACAATAAATTCACCCTCTGGATATACCTTTATTTGGTTTATTAAATCATGCAGCAATGTTTCTAGCATCCCCAGAATGTTTCATCAGTGAATCACTCAGTAATTCATTTTAAAATAAGTATGGCTTGCCTTCATATGTTGAAAGATTCAGTTCAAATTAAAATCAAGCTGGCAGTAATAAAATTATGAAATGGCTACATCAACAAAGTCTAGCCAAAGCTGAATTGCACAACTTGCTGAGCTGACTTCCACAGAGCCTCTCAAGTATGGATAGGTAACCAGGTAAGTTCAACACAAAAATAACTCTTTTTTACTTAAAACAATGCCTGTGAATAGGCAGCCTAAATGTTTCTGACATTAGAAGCAGAAATTAAGATAATGTTTATATTTCCATGAATTATTTAGAATGCTATTATCTAGATAATCTGCTTTAAGTGTGTGTAGGTACACACACACGTATAAAGTCTAACAATGAAATATTACAAATGCACAACTGACCCCAATGAGTTTGCAATTTAATCCATTAATTGGTAGAAAGGAGATAAAAGTACAGTTGATCTAATCATGTCTAACTGCCAAAATATGAAATGATTTCATCATATTATTTAGGCCAATAAATGCCTTGTTTAGTCCAGGCTACAGATAGCTTTTCCTAAGCTGTTTTTAGATAAAAAATGATGGCTATTTTATTCCAAGAAATTATCTTTATCAATAAAAAAAGTCTATTTGAAGGGGAAAACTTACCCTGGAACATCTCAACTTAGTTAAACATGCTGGTTCATTTGTAAAATGTGTATTCTTCTATGTTAATGGTCCCCACATGTGAGGCACAACAGATGAGCTGGCAAATAAAATGGACATAATCCCTGCACACATTTTTTCAGCAAATTAGAATGCTTCACTCATTCAAAAAGACACATGCAAACAGTGTTTGCCATGACTCCTGAAATCTTCATTTTTTTCTCTGGAGTCATTTGAAACTGATAACTCATATAAGAACCCATAAATTGTTTGTTTGTTTTTTAAATCTGGGACTTTCAACAGAAATACTAAGTGGGATTCATTGCAAACTTCCTAAAGTATGGGCACCAGGAGAATCATGTTAGAAATAAATCAACTGGGTGATTTAACAACAGAAGCAGACGGAGGATGTCTGTACCAAAATACATTATACTGAATTATAGAGCAATGTATTAAAATAATTTTCCAACAAATAAGTTTGACCATCTTTTTCACTTGAAAATAAAGCATGTTAGTAGTGCCTTATTACCAAGCTATTTTATGAAGATCTTCACAAGATCTTTATATTTAGTTTGGCAAAAATTGTAATTGGTTAATATGAAAGATGGAGAAAAATAACTTTCTAAGACCTTTCCTTCCTTATAAATACTAGCCTGTCAAAGTTGTATATTTTTCTTTTCATGTAGAATGGTCTGAAATTGGTTGAAATGTTTTTAATTTAATGTAGCAGACTGCATTAAGAAAAAGGTTTGTTAAACCTTGAATAGAATAGTAAATATTTTTTGAGGAAATTATAAAGGGAAAAGCATAAGTTGCATACTTATTATTAGAGCTCAGAACGACTCCGGCAGAGGCGTTCTGGAGACCGGACCCATCAAAGTCCTTTTCCCTGTTGGTGGACTCTGTTTATCTTCTCTCTCTGACCACAAGTAACAAATGTACTTTTATAACTAGAGATGAATAAAACATATGGAGCAGAAATCACGTAACTTTTCACCAGTTTCCTAACACCATTTAGAGTACAAAATTATTGTAATATAGACCAATATTTTCTTTTTAAAAAGTTTGTCATTGGCAACCATTTCTGTGAAATATGTGGTAGATGGTTTTGGAGCAAGTTCATATTTTGATAATAAAAAGGAAGAAAGTAGCTGGTTTGTGTCTATGAGACTTAACCTTTCAATAAGTAGTAATCAAGCAGACGGGGAAAAAGTCTCATAGAATTTGGCCTAAAAGACAGGGCTTTAAGGAAAGGGAATGCTAATATAAACACAAAATTTGATACTTCAGAGATTTGAAATGCCAGCAAAATTTTAAAATTACCCAAATATAAATAATAAATTCTGTAACAGTACTGGGCTTTTACAATAAAATACTGTGCAAAGACTCCAAGGCTAAGAAAAGAGGAAGGACTGAGTTTTAGTAGAAGTTTGCCTGATTGCTTTTTTTTTTTTTTTTTTGCAAATCAAATAATCAAATACTGAAAGTCTGAATTACTGTAGTGGAATTAAAATTTGGGTTATTCTTTCTGTCTTTACCCCATTTCTTCCCTATTTCAAAGATTCCTGCCTTCCAACTGCTCAATACCTCCTTATTCTTTTGTACTCCTACGGGACAGCCTAGAACTATGTCTAGCATAAAACAGAAAGCCCCAAAGTACTTATTATTCAAGTTAATGTGTTGACCAAATGGACAAAACTAACCTCTTCTTTTAGGTGAATATACACTGAACAACAGCTCCCAGGTTTTGTGTAGAAACGGTCCTTCTTTGTTCCTCTCAGTTTTTTGGCAAGAAGATTGAGCAGACGTGTTATGGGAGAAAAGCCTTTTTCATGATGAGGCAGCAATGGATATTTATTTGAATTTGGGTGTTGGGGGGAAATGGAAGCTATAGCTAAATTTTAGGTCAGCCACTCTGTAAGGTACAAAGGCACTGGGATGATAAAATTGGAAAGAACCTACTGAGAGAAAGATGCTATCCTATATTGTTGCTGATAAGGATAGAGCATTAAGAATTTTGAAAAATAAAAGGGCAAATGGTAAGTCCAGGTTCACTGCAGAATTGCTTGGAAAGATTACAAATCATGTGCTCCAAACTAGAGAACTTTGAAGGCAAATACAGTTTTTGGTGGCCCTGCTGGAAACCATGGTGATTTCTTAGCACAAGTCTTTCAAAAGTCACTAAAATGAAAATTTTGGCACTTATTCTCAACTCCAATAGGCACTATCTCTTGCCTAATAGATAAAATGTAAAGTAATGCCTCTTGGACAAAAATATTAATCAAAACCAGAAATAACAATTGGAATTAATTATTTAGAATGTTTTATAGCATATATTTAATATAAATTTTTATTATTTAAAAATAGTCAAGTCATAAATAAGGCTCAAGTTTTCCATGATCACTTAATCCTTTTGAGATAGGTCACCTTGACGTGGATATCAGCAGGGTACGTGTACTTCCAAAACTTTTCTTCCATACATAGTCCCATTTGGAGAATAGACTGTTATTATGGGTTTTTAACTACACAATTGATAAAATTTATGTATTTTTAAAGACTTTTAAGAGCAGTTTTAGGTTCACACCATGACTGAGGGAAGTTACAGATTTCCTATGTGCTCCTTGTCCCCACTCATGCATACCCTTCCCCATTGTCAACATCACACACCAGAGTGGCACATTTGTTACCAAAGGTGCACCCTATTGACACATCATAATCCCCCAAAGTCTTTAGTTTTCCTTAGGGTTCATTCCTGGTGTTGTACATTCAGTGGGTTTGGACAGTGTATAATGACATATATCCATTGCTATACTGTCATAGGGAGTGTTTTCACTGACTGAAGAATCCTCTGCCCTCTGTATGTTTATCCCTCCCTCCAGCAACCACCAGTCTTTTCATTGTCTCTGTGGTTTTGCCTTGTTCAGAATGCCATATACACTTGGTTTTGTCTATTTTTTAAACAAAAGATCTCCACCATTTTTCAAATTGGTGACCTCACTCTTGGTGACCTCTGATGCAAAATAGTGCTTACATCAGAGTTTATTTAATCATACCACCTTTAAAAGATTTTTGACTGTTTCTAAATCAGGGCTGTCAAAATCAATGTTGCAATGAAACTCCTGCAAAGCTGCACAACATGATAATATTTCTAATCTGTATGATTCTTACAGTAATCTATACTAAATGCTTATATCTGTACCTTGAGTCATGAAAAATTTTGGAAACCCCTCCTAAAACAACAATTATTTTAATGCATAAAATATCTAACTCACTGTGTCTATCTACCGATCTATCTATAGTTAGCTATCATGCACATATCATTGTATCATTTAATGTTGGGCCCACTACTTACTAATTGTATAATCCTGGACAAGATATGTCACCTCTCTGCCTCTGACTCTTCATAGATAAAGTGAGAATGTTAATAGTATCTGACCCATAGGGTAATATTATATGAGTTCAGATGATTAAATGAGTTAATATGTACTAAGAACTAAGAACCATGGTATACTACATGTTTATTATAGGGCTAACCATTATCATTGTTACATATGGGTTCATTTTTCAGAACTGATACATAAAGAACTCAGATTCTGCTCTGGCTGGTGTATGTCAGTGAATTGAGCGTGGATCTGTGAACCAAAGGGTTGCTGGTTTGATTCCCAATGAGGACACATGCCTGGGTTGGGGGCCAGGTTCCCAATTAGGGGGCGCATGAGAGGCAATGATAGAGGGATGTTTCTCTCCCTCTATTTTTCCCTCCCTTCCTCTCTCTCTAAAAATGAATAAAAATCTAAGAAAAAAAACTTAAAAAAAGAACTCAGATTCTTTTTTTTACTTTCTTTATTTTTTATGTTTTATTTTTAGTTGTTTATTCTATTACAGTTGTCCCAATTTCTTTCTCTTTCCCTTTTTTCCCCATCCACCCAGACCACCTCTCTTGCCCACAGTCAGTTCCTCTCCACTGCCCATGTCCATAAGTCATTCATACGTGTTCTTTGACTAGTCCCTGCCCCCCTTTCCACTATTCACCCTCTTTCTTCTCCCTTCTCCCCTCCTACAGCTATCAGTCTGTTGTGTGTTTCCATGTCTTTGGTTCTATTTTTTTTCATTAGTTTATTTTATTCAATAGATTCCAGTTATAAGTGAGGTCATATGGTATTTGTCTTTCACTGACTGGCTTATTGCACT